TATATATATATATATATATATATATATATATTGAAAAGATAAAATTCATTGATAAAAAAAAGATGATACAAAGGTTTTAGTGAGTGAGTACAAAGAACCCACTTACATGAATTACAGACGTATTCCCCAAAAATAAAATAAAAAGAAACAACTTCTAATCATGGTGGGTGTATTCGGTGGATCTACCGCTTCCTCTTCCCTTGGTTCTAGGGAGGGAGTCCATCAACATACTGAGATGTGGGCTTCAAACTTGGACTATGTTTAAATTTGATTAATTCAACCTTTTATTTTTTTTAAAAAAAATGTTTAAACTTGTTTATTTACTAATATGAATAAATTTGATTGAGCATTAATTAATCCAAGTTTGAATTTTTCATCAAGTGCACCGGTTCATTTACAACCCTATTTATTTTTCATAATTTTTAGATCAAGAAATCTAGTATTGAATATAAAAAATAAACTAAAAAAAAATCAAAGAATAATGAATTAAAGTTTATAACTAATATAATAAAAGTTTTGAAATTGATTTACTATATATATATATATATATATATATATATATATAAATAAAACCTTATTATAGGAGCTAACCTGATAGGTCATAGGAGCTCACATGACCTTGTATTGATGCTTTATAGATTCTTTCGGTCATTTTTCTTCTACTTAAGTCATCATTCCATCATCTTCTTCACCTCTTTGAGGACATTCATAAAGGAAGTTATTCAAGCGACATGTGAATGTATAAAAATATTTTTTTTATCAAAAAATTGTATTTTGAAATCATTTCTAAAACTTACAAGTTAATACAAGTGAAGGTTTCAACACCATTTGAGAATTTTCATTCATGATTTCGCTGATATTAGTCTTTATCATATAAGATTGAAAACATATGCCTCAAATCTTCTAAATTTTAAGTTATTGTCATGAGTCTCACATGGCATTAGTTATTTGTTTCTGTTGAAGAGTTTTATGTGTTAGGAGTAAATGATAGCAACAAATAAATAATAATGTAGTTAGGGATGATGTCGAACCGAGTCAAGTGAATTGCATATTTGTTTGGTTTTGAGCTTAATAGAGTAAAGTTTATCAAAATTTTATAATATATTTAAATGTTATTTTATATGTGTTCGATTTTCCAATATAAATGTATTTAAATTAATTTTTCAAAAAAGTTGATGTGTGCTAGAAGATTCGCGGCGGTAGAGTAATAGATTATCGTCTTAGCGTTGCAAGATGATTTAATGACCTAGCTTATATTGTGAGACATGAGGAACCGAGGAGCTCAAGTGTTTTGAAGACCACTTAACACTTAGGGAACTCGAACCAGGGTAGTAAAATTGACGGCGATGCCAAGAGGGTGTGATCCATTTTAAAAAAAAAAAGAAAAGAAGAAAAAAATAATTATAGAAATAACTCGATAACGGCGGTCATTGCGTCCAATAATAAAAAAACAACCCTTCTAGCCAGCCGACAAACTTCGCTTTCTACGTACCAAGGCCCTCCATCTAAAACAGACAAAATAACCATAGAGCATTCCCTGCCCCCTAGCGACAAGTTCTGCAAAGTGTACGCCGACAATCATCCGTGGAAATAAGGGAAATTAGGACCATCGCCTCTCAATAGAGAAGGGAACCCAACCTTGAAGCCTATGGAAGTATAAGTAAGGGACCCGTTCCTATGCCCTAAAGACAATTCATCACCTAGATGTAACATGCCCAGGGAGGGATGTATGGCGATTATCTTTGAACCTTGAGATGATTCACCACCCATTAGTGAAAAACTACTTGAGGGGTGTATGATGATCATCTTCGACCCTAGAGAAGACTCGCCGCCCAACAATGACAAGCTCTACGATGGGTGTAAGGAGATCATCTTTGGCCCTAGAGACGATTCACCGCTCGACAACGATAAAATCCATGTTGGGTGCATGGTGATCGTCTTCTACCCTTGAGATAATTCACCACCCAGCAGCAACAGGCTCTGCTAGGGGTGTACGACAATCATCTTTGACCACATAAATGACTCGCTACCCGACAACGACAAGCTCCACAAGGGGTGTATGTCGATCATCTTTGGCCTCAGAGATGATTCCTGCCCAGAAGTGACAAGTTCAGCGAGGGGAGTACGGCAATCGTCTTCAACTTTTGAGACTATTTGCCACCCGATAACAACAAGCTCGCGAGAGGTGTACGACAATCATCTTCAGCCCCATAAATGACTCGCCACTGGGCAATGACAAGCTCCGATGTGGGTGAAGGTTCAGTTGAATAAACATCATATCCAAATAATCTAAAAACTTAACCAATTATCTTCTAAAAAAATCTACTCATTACATGCCAATGAAAGAACTGTTAAAAACTAAGTAAATCTAGGGACAAAGGAAAGAATATCTCTTATGTACTTATGACTTTTAATTCTTATTGCAGCTTCGCCTCTAAGAAAAGAATTATTTGGGGGCTTCATGTTTATACTAAAAGTGTCACCATACTCGTCAAGCTAAAGGAACCACCAACAAAATCACATCTGCAATATGATCCAATCAAATTGGCTACCCTAGATCGACTTTTCTCGAACAGAAGACTTTTCCACCAATGTAAGACTTTTCCCACAACAAACAACTTTTCCCCTGACAGCTGACTTCTCCCCCAATGGCCAAATTTGCCTCTGACGGTTGAATTTTCCCTTGACGACCACGATTTACTTTTCCCTCGATAGCCACAACCAAGTTTTTCTTCGACAACCGAATTTTCCTCTGTTGATTGACTTTCTCTTGACAGTTGACTTTTCCTTTGACGACCAAATTTTCCTTTGAGGGCTGACTTTTCCCTCAGTGACCACAGTTGAATTTTTCCTTTGCAGCCACAACTAAATTTTCTCCCGACGACCAACTTTTGCCCCAATGGCTAAATTTTCCTTCGACCACGATCGATTTTCCTCCGATTGTCGACTTTTCCCCTAATGGGGATGACTTAATTTTTCTCTCACGGTCGACTTTTCCTCCAACGCCTGACTTTTTCTCCAATGTTCGACTTCTTCCTCCGCTAGGCCATAGGAACCCTATGACTCCCTCGACAGAAAATCTTCAGAATGAAAAACTTCAGAATGATAGATCCAACAGGTGACAAATTAAGCGAAACCAAGCGCGAAAAGCACTTATTAGGGAGTATCATTAGCAAATTATGTGTTTAAGATTTATTTGATTTATAAATTTTTTTATCCCTGTTGTAGGTGTCACTATCGATGAAAAAGAAATTTCGTAAACTTAGTATATTTACTCAAAAAATGTATGCACAGATCTCGAGGTAATCTACAATTTACTCCCATCGAATTGGCTATCAACAAAGGAATTTTCTTCCAATAGAGGACTTTTCATTCAATGGAGGACTTTTCCCCGAATAGAGAACTTTTCCTTCGACCAGCCACCGGAACCCGATAATTCTCCCGGATAGAAAAACTCTAGAATGACTTACCCAGCGGTCCATGAGGTACCTAGTAGTACACACAAACACAAAAGACTAAAATATCATGTCTATCACTTTCTAAAACAAGGGTAATATTGTTGTTTACTTTTGCTCCTTCTATCATCTATAAATAGGAGAGTCTTTTTATGTAATGGGGCTTCTTTTGGATCCTTAATAGTAACCTCTGGTTTTTATGGAATAAAATGGGTCAATGAGCCCGAGAACACCCTAATTCGCCTCGAGGGGGCAAGTCTTCCTCTTCTTCCCCCCCTCTCTCTCTCTTTCTTTCTCTCTCTTTCTCCCTTATAGAAAAACTCTAAAAGGACTGATCCTGTTGTTTGATGAGGTACATAGCAGTACACGTTAACACAAATGACTAAAATATCATGTCCTAACCTTTTTAAATGCAAGGGCAATATTATTGTTTATTTTTTATTCTCTTATCATCAATAAATAGAAGAGCTTTTTCTTATAAACGGAGCTTTTTTTGGATCCCTACTTTTAACCTCAGCTTTTTATGGAATAAAATAGGTCCACAGGCCCGAGAACACCCTAATTCGCCTCGACGGGCAAGTCTTCCCCAATTAGAAGCATGCGAGCTCCAACTTTTAATTGAATTGAATTAGGAAATTATATATAGCATGCTAAAAAAGAATTTCAATCATTTTAAAACTTAATTCAAAGTATTTTAATGAAACTAAAAAAAAATTGCTTAATATAATTATTTTGAAAAATGGTTAGATATCACACAATTCTTCTATTTGCACCTAAACATTCACATTTACATTGCTCACCACTCAAATCTTTAACATCATATTAAAATATATCATCATCACCCTCTTTTTAAAAGTGAAATACATATTTTTCATACTAAATACATATTTTCATATGTAAATTTATGGCACAAAAGTGTTATAAATGTAAATATTAAATTTTTGGTACAAATATAATAAGAATTATAGGTAAGTATGTAAATTTCAAAAAAAAAAAAAAAAAAAAAAAAAAAAAAAAAAACGAACAAAAAAACAAATGCAAAGGGTAAAG